TGTCTGCCCTTGCAGTTTGAAGGTTGTGGTGTGTTCACTAGGAAGGAGTGAGGCTCTGAGTGACTTGTGAGTAATTAATGCCGACTCAGTACTCCTGGCTATTTGTTGAGCAAATAATCAAAGAGAAAGAGGAGTCTTTTAGACTAGCAGTCAGGACCGTGCATGCCGGCCAGTTTTCTGTGTAAAGGGATTTCAGAAGACATTGTGGGGCAAGGTTTTGGTGTTTTGCCAAGTGTATAGGTACTTGGCCAAATGCACGGATGTTTTTTAAAAGATTTTTTTTTTTTTTTTTTTTTGGAGAGGTTTTTGCTATAGGGCGTGTGCGCTCACCAGACAGACAGAGAGAGACAGAAAGACAGAAAGCGAGAAATCACCCCCCAGGGGGGATGGCCACGCCGCAACCCCTTCTTCTCCATTCTCCTCTCGGGATCTCGGGCACTCATGCACACGCGCCCGGCGTGAGTTTAAGCCACCGGGTCTGGGACTTGAACTGTGGTCAACTATGTGGGAGTCCAGCGACATAGCCATTATGCTAACTGCTGGTCCCTAAAAGATGTATTTAATTAGGGGCCAGCAGAGGGTATGGTGGTTAATGGTGCTGAACTCCCACATGGCTCACTGCAGTTCAAGTCTCAGACTTGGCAGCTTGCTTTCTCACTTTCTCTTTGTCTCTTGCCCTGTCCTTCTCTGGTATAAATAAATAAATAAATAAGGTTAAATAAAGTAATTCTTTGAAAATATTTATTTAATTGATTAATTACTTTTATTATTATTTTAACATTTGCTACAGAGCTCATCTGTTGACCAGAGTGAGACAGAGAGAGACAGAGAGCAAGTCGGCCATGTGAGAGTCCAGTGCCTTAACCAACAAGCCACCTGCCGGCCCTAGTGCACGGGTTTTAGTGTTAGGCAGTCCTGGTTCACGGCCCCCTTCACCATTAGTGGCCATGTGGCTGAGCAAGTGGCCTAAACTTTCTGAGCCTCTAATTCTTCATTGGAGAAATGAGATTGTATCTCAATGTAGGGATTACATGAGAGGACGGCCTGGCTTTTGACTAGGGGTTAATAAACAGCAGCGATGATGATTATTCTATCCACAGACTTTCTTTGTCTCTTATTAGCACATTATTTTTACTTACTGTCCGTCATTGTGAATCAGCATTATTCACAACATGGTTTGCTGAAGTATGTCTGCAGTACACGGCAATCAAATCAAGGATGCGTCTCATACATGCTTTTGTCTGTTCAATGTTTCTTCCACACTGGCTTTCTTAGAAGAAGAAATCTTGTTCAATTTCAACTGCGCCTGGGATAAGGGTCATAGGTTTGAATGGGCATAGGACGGGAACGCAGCTGAATGATTCGAAAGGGATGTAGATGAGTCCTACAGAACACCCTCTGCCATAGCACTGCCCCAGCTTTTGGGCAGAAAGCCTTTCCCACCCTTCATGTCATTGGATATTCACACGGACCGGTGAGAGAGCGAACGTGCAGTGGCATGACTGGGATCTAGGCTAACTGATACTGGGATGGACTGTGGCAGGAGAACCCTGTTGGAAAATTTCTCTCTCTCTCTCACTCTCTCTGACTCTTAGAAGAAATAAACACACTAAAAAAGAAGGAGGAGGAGTTGGAGAAGGAGAAGAAAAAAGAAGAAGAAAAAGCTTTCCAGGGCCTGAACCATAGCCTAGTGGGTAAGAGAGCCAGACCCCCATATAGCTGACTGTTTTGAATCCTGGCCACGGCAACTGGAAAACCATGCTGTGTATGTGCACATGAGCAGAAAATCCTGTAGACAGAGAATTGGAGAAGGGACAGTGGTGCGAACATGTCCCATGGGGAAAAGGGAGTTTCCTCTCTCTCTCTCTCTGTCTAGCATGTACACATGTCCTTTGCAACTAAAAAATAAAAAAAGCTTGCTCACATAGAGAAGTGTGGAAGACCTCCTGGGTCCAAGGATTGGTTTGATACAGGGAAGCTTTATGTATCCCTCTTCTTATAGAGAGGATGTTTGGTTTCCATCAGCACAAAACGTCCCAGCTCCGTGCCAGGTGAGCAAGTTGCCGAAACTCCTTCTGCTGCAGTTGTCTGATTCGTAAAATAGGCTCATAAAAAGTTATTTCCTTTTAGGATTGCTGTGAAAGTTCAAAGATGAAAGTAATTAAACAAGGTCTGGCACAGACTAGACTTATGCAATAATCAGGAATATTGAAAGCAAACAACCACTTGTTTTGCATTTTAAACTTAATGCCGGATCTACATATCACCCAGAGTTATCCCTCTTCTGGGCACACCCTACATTTTCAAAACTGCCACTGAGGTGGAGTGGGCCTAGACTACATACCTGGACCAAGGTGCCATACAGGTGGAGAAAGGAAGGAAGAGAGGCAGACCCTTGTTCATCGTGTACCTGTGCACATGAGGGACGTGAATGAAGGTGGGGGCGGGGTGTGTGTGTGGAAGGCGGGGGACAAGCACAGGCACTGGGGAGAGACAAAGGCCACATCCCTATCAGGTTCTCTGCACTCAACTCTCTCGCGGCGCTCCCCGGGTGGTGCTGATCTGGGGACGTGAGCAGAGGGCTGCGGTTGCACACGGACTCCGGGAGAGGCAAAAGAGGACAAGGCGCGGGGGCTGGGGCTGGGGCTGATCCCAGGATGGGTTTCAGGAACACCCGAGGCCAGGGAACCTCAGGAAATTCGGGAAGAGGCAGCAGCTTGGTAGGGACGCTGAGTACCACCGGGCGCACAGCCCCTCCCAAGCTACCGGGCGCCAAAGGGGCTATGCCCGTGGTGCACACGGAGCCACGCGCTCTTCCCCGAACTTGCGCGCGGGTCCCGTCAGCTGTGCTCAGCCCAGCCAAGAGCTCGGGGTACGATGACTCCAAGGGGCGGATGCAAGGCCCGGGGCGGAGTCTTTGCGCCCGGGCCGCCTCCACTGATTATAAAATGAGCTGTTGGGTCCAGGCTCCGACACGCCTCCCATAGCCCAAGTGCACTGTCGCCTGTTGCTTTGGACCTCCGACCTCATCTCGTCTTGCCATGGACCCCAACTGCTCCTGCGCCACTGGTAAGGGTCGCCGGCTTTCTGAGCCTTAGGGTGGGCATTTCGCAGCTCCAGAATCAATAGTCCTTGTGGCTGCTGAGGATGCGTTTTGAATCAGAGCCTAAGTGGATGGACGCCTTTATTTTTAACATTTTGTGCTCTGCCCCCAGTCAAACACCTTCATCAGCCCTTAAGAGTGTTTCTTCCCCGCAGGTTCTTCTTCCAAACGATCACAGGTTGGAAGGACAGAGGCTCAGGGTTGTCTTGACAGACATCACCCAGGTGGTCCAAAAGGCCACTGGGCTGAGCTCCACGTACAGTGCAGACCTGAACTGCCTGTGTGGGTTGGGATGTGGGGACTTTGCCGTTTCTGTGCTCCCCACTTAAAATCCTGGCCCAGGCCCACGCCTGAACTAGGTGGGCCTGGAGCTTGGGCCCTTCATTCTTTCCTTCCTTGTAGGAAAGACAAGTGGGGACACTGCTTCCCAGCAGGAAGGTGGAAGAGGTGGGGTTACACTTCCATCTGCTCTGTATGGGGCAGCAGCTCCCAGGGCAGGGCCTGGGCAGCAGAGCTGCAGGGAGAGTAACAGAGCACCTGCCAGATCAGCCATATCACACCAGTGCTCACTGCCTGCCTTTCTCACCCTCACAGGTGGCTCCTGCACCTGCGCTGGCTCCTGCAAATGCAAAGAATGCAAGTGCACCTCCTGCAAGAAGAGTGAGTGTGGGGCCATCTTCAGAATCTGGGGCTGAGGCTAAGGTTGGGAGGGAACCCCAAGCTGCCTCTGAGTGTCTGCTTGTGGGAACTGGCCTTCCTTTGCCTCTGGAGACACTGTGATTCCTTGCCCAGTCTTTCTGCCCTGTCCTGAGCTCACATGGGATAGAGTCTTTTTCTATTGGGAAACAAATGACCAAGTTTGGATCTATTGTCTCAAAACATAACTGGGCCATCCCAAAAGAGGGCCCTGGGATTGGGGCAGAGCTTGTGCAAGGCTTGCAGTCAGGACAGGGAAGTGCCTGGTAAGTGTGCTCTGAAATCCTCTACTCTCCCCTTTCTTCCCCAGGCTGCTGCTCCTGCTGCCCTGTGGGCTGTGCCAAGTGTGCCCAGGGCTGTGTCTGCAAAGGGGCCTCAGACAAGTGTAGCTGCTGTGCCTGATGTCAGGAGAGCCCTCTCCCGGATGTAAATAGAGCCACGTGTACAAGCCTGGTTGCCCTCCCACCCCCATGCATTTTCTACATTTCTTTTTCTATGACAAATGTGAATGGCAATAAAAGTTGTTAACTTAATTCTGGAGTTGTCTGGCTTGGATCTAAGGGAGTTGGTGCCCATCAGGGCTGGGGTGGGGGCTTCTGCTGGGAGCACAGACACCTGGGCTCTGGACTGAAATGTGAGCCCCCAACAAGCTGGCTTCAGGCAAGCCAGGAGACCTCCCTGGGCAGCATTTCTGTAGATGACAGCATTGTAGCAGGCCATGTGGGGAGAGGTACAGTGCAGGCACTGGATTCCCTCCATTTTCATAGCAAGTATCAATGGCACAGAAGCTTCTCAACTGCTCATTTTCCCTCGATTTTCCTGTCCATCCTAAGGTCTTTAGTTCACTTATGTTTCAGTCTTAAAAGTGACTCTAGTCCAAGCTCTAGTTGCTACAATCGACATGCAGCTTCTCAGACTCTATGGTGAAGCAGTCGTTTATATCTCCTCCCTATTGAAGACTTGAAACAGTAGTAAATAAATATTAGTTAAGAGATCATGAAATCAAAGTAAAGCACAATATTCTTTTTCTGTTGTTAAAGTTTTTGCTAAGGGGTACAGGTCCTTACTGGAGCCAGAGAGAAGGGAAGTGAAAAACTGCTCCCCTCCACCTGCCCCAGGGTATGGCCATGCTGCAATCCCTTCTCCATGACAGCATTGTAGCAGGCCATGTGGGGAGAGGTACAGTGCAGGCACTGGATTCCCTCCATTTTCATAGCAAGTATCAATGGCACAGAAGCTTCTCAACTGCTCATTTTCCCTCGATTTTCCTGTCCATCCTAAGGTCTTTAGTTCACTTATGTTTCAGTCTTAAAAGTGACTCTAGTCCAAGCTCTAGTTGCTACAATCGACATGCAGCTTCTCAGACTCTATGGTGAAGCAGTCGTTTATATCTCCTCCCTATTGAAGACTTGAAACAGTAGTAAATAAATATTAGTTAAGAGATCATGAAATCAAAGTAAAGCACAATATTCTTTTTCTGTTGTTAAAGTTTTTGCTAAGGGGTACAGGTCCTTACTGGAGCCAGAGAGAAGGGAAGTGAAAAACTGCTCCCCTCCACCTGCCCCAGGGTATGGCCATGCTGCAATCCCTTCTCCACTTTTCTCTCAGGATCTTGGGCATGCATGCAACATGTGCCCAGCATGATTTTCAGCCTACCGGTCCAGGACTCAAACTGTGTAGTAAGCTATGTGGGATCCAGTGGCCTTAACCTTCATACCACCTGCTGGTCCCCAAATCCTTTTTTTAAATTCATGGAAAGCGTCAAGAAATATATAAAGAAATAACAGGAAAATTAAAGATGTACAAACTCTGCATATAATGGCCACTGATGATGTGCATTGCAGAATGCAGATAGTTTGCAGGCCTGCCCCAGTGTCTAGACCACACACTTTGAGCGACTCTGGCCTGGTTGCCCCCATAGGGAACTAACAGTCCTGGCTTGCCTGGCCACTGTTGGGACTCTACTCCTGAGAGCCCCTGTTGTGATTGGTTCTGAATCTTTGGAAGTTCCTACATGGTCAGGCTGAATTTGCCTTTCAATTCTAGCCCTTGCCTACTTCAGACCAGCAAAGTGACTAGGGATTTGAGGGGACTGCCCAGTGGTTTCCTGGCAAGATGCAATGGTTCCATGGTTCCCAAGGAAGTACTGTGTTTTGTGTCTGCCTGTGCAGTTTGAAGGGTGTGGTATTTTCATTAGGAAGGAACGAGGCTCTGACTGACTGACGAATTAATGCTGAGTATTAGTATTCCCCGCTATTTGTTGAGGAAATACTGTTTGATGCTCAATCAAAGAGTAAGAGGAGTCTCTTAGACTAGCAGTCAGGACGGTACCTGCCAGCCGTATCTTGTGTGAAGGGATTTCAGAATGTGTCCTGGGCCAAGTGCGTGGGCTTTGGTGTTTGCCAAGCATATGAGTAAGTTGCCAAACACACGGATTTTAGTGTTGGACGGTCCTGGTTCACACCCCCACTTCACTTGCTTGCTGGGTGGCCTGAGCAAGTTGCTCAAATTCTCTGAGCCTCCAGTTCCTCATTTGCAGAAATGAGATTGTATCTCAATGCAGGGATTGAATGAGAGCGAGGCCTGGTCCCTGACTAGGACCTGGAGAATGGAAAGGAGAGGCAGACCCCTGTTCACGGTGGACCTGTGCACATGAGGGACGTGACTTAAGGACCAGGGTGGGGACAAAGGCAGGCGATTGGGAGCGACAAAGGTCACATCCCTATCAGGTCCTCTACACCCAACTCCCTCGCAGCTTTCCCGGGTCGTGCTGATCTGGGGACGTGAGCAGAAGGCGGCGTTTGCACACGGACTCCGGGAGAGGCAAAACTGAGGACAAGGCGCGGGGGCTGGGGATGGGAGTAATCCCCCAGGGTGGGTTCCCGGAACACCCGAGGCCGGAGACGGCAGGAACCTCAGGAAATTCGGGAAGAGGCAACAGCGCGTTAAGGACGCCGTGTACTGCAGAGCAACCCCTCCCAAGCTACGGGTCACCAAAAGGGCGGCGACCGCGGTGCGCACGGAGTCACACTCTCTCCGGAACCTGTGCCCCCGTCCCGCCCGCTGCGCTCGGCCCAGCCAAGGACGCGGGCGCCTCGGACTCAGCGGGGCGGGTGCAAGGGCCGGGGCGGAGCCTTTGCGCCCGGGCCGCCGCCTCTGACTATAAAGGGAGCTGGCGGGTCTCAGGCTGCGACACGCCTCCCACAGCCCGAGTGCTTCTTCGCGTGTTGCTTTGGATCTCCGACCTCACCTCATCTCGCGATGGACCCCAACTGCTCCTGCGCCCCTGGTAAGAGACGCCGGCTTTCTGGCCAGTAGGCATTTTCCGGCCTCATGACAGATGTCCGTAGCAGTGACGTCTCGTTTTGAGTTCTGGCTGAAGTGGTTCCTTTATAGTTCATAGTTCTAGTGCTTTCCCTCTTCCCGAGCGCCTTTGTGATCCCCTGGAGTGTGAACTTCCTCCCAATGCCTCCCTTTTCGGAGGAAGGGCGATTTCAGGCTCATGAGTGACCTGCCCTGTTTCCAGGTGATCAGGGGCTGCTAGGCTGAGCTCCTCCAGGCATTTGAATATCGTGGCTGGTGAGAGGCATGGGACATAGCACATTATGGATGTAAACCAAGTCTAGGCGGTGAGGAGGTGTGGATTTAGACTTCACTGTCCCCGGGTGGGAACGGTGCTACCAGACTTGCTGAGTGAGCATTCACCACCAATTGCTGTTGCCATCAGCCCGCATCAGCATCACCCTTGGCCTCACTTGTCTCCCTCTTCCTTTCAGGTGGTTCCTGCACCTGTGCCGGCTCCTGCAAATGCAAAGAATGCAAATGCACCTCCTGCAAGAAGAGTGAGTGTGGGGTCTACCTTGGGAGTCTGGGGCCTAGCCAGGAGGCAGGGGAGTGACCCCAAGATAGACAGGCAGCAGCAGGTCAGTGACCATCTTCCTGGCATCCCCTTCCCCGGGGTCAGATTGAGCATCAAAGGCAGAAGAATGTTAGAAGTTTTCTTCATTCTCAGAAAGGGGAAAGAGGCCCAGAGTACACAGCAGCCAGTCAAGTACAGATCAGAAACTGAGGACTTCTCTCAGTTAAATGTATGGCTCCAGGTAACTGGCCTTCCTCTGTCGCCTATCAGTCTCTCTGACCTGTCCAGTGCTCAGGTAGGGCTGGGTAACCTTTTTCCTAGGAAGACTCTCACCCCAAAGATGACCACTCGTCTCCAGGCATAGGATGCCACCTCCAATATGGGTCCTCTGGGACTGGGATGGAGGAGGTGCCTGGCGAGTCTGCTCTGACCGCTCACCCTCTGCTTTCTTCCCCAGGCTGCTGTTCCTGCTGCCCTGCAGGCTGTGCGAACTGTGCCCAGGGCTGCGTGTGCAAAGGGGCATCGGACAAGTGCAGCTGCTGCCCCTGATGGGGGCCAGCCCTGCTCCCAGATGTAAATAGAACCATGTGTACAAGCCTGAATTTTTTTTTCCATACCCTCTTGACCATTTGCTACATTCCTTTTTCTATGATACATGTGAATGACAATAAAAGTTGTTGACCTGATTCTGGCTCTGGTTTCCTTTGTCTGCTTTGGGAATAAGGGAGGTCTGGTCCAACAGCTGAGGTTGTGGATTAGACTGGAACCCAGAGACCTGGGTGCTAGAACATACCTTAGCTCCTTCTATACTGAGTTTCCTTAGACAGATCAGGTTCTGTGTCTCCACTTCCGTTTCTCAGCTAAAACACAAGAACATTGTGCTAGGTGATATTAGGGTACGGGAATCTGTCAGAGAACTAAGCTTTGAAAGAGAAAAACAAATTAGCGTGAGCAAAATGTATATCCAATAGGGAAAGTTCAAAACAAGACAACATAGGAAAAATAAAACAATCGCAAATACCACATGTTTGTTGTCCGGCGTACATAACTGTGGATGCATCCCAGACCAACCTCCCTGAGGGGCTCATGCACCGTGAGCAGCACTGGCCCAGACCTCCCTATAAGAAACCATCTCTCTTGACTTGCCTAGTGCTAGTGACTGGGCTCTTGCTATCCCTGAGACTTCCCTTGCTGTGGCTGGCTCTGAACCTCTGGAAGTGCCTCCCGAGGTCAGGCTGAAATCTTGCTCCTCTGATGTTCCAACCTTTGGTTATCAGGGATGAGGTGGGTCTTGCCCAGCACTTTCCCAGCAAGCTGGAGTGTATGTGGGTACTTCATGCCTGCCTCTGCAGGGGCGATGGCAGATTCTGCAGTTTTGAAGGTGTGGTGGCATTTATGAGGACGGAGGGTGGCCCTAGGTGACTTGTAATTAATGACCACAGTTAGTCCCGCTGGCTGTTTGCTTAGGGAGTGCTGTCTGATGTTCAAAGACAAAATTGAGTCATTTGGCACTGGAGTCAGGACCGTGCTTGCCTGCTGGTGCCCTGGGTGAAGAGAGGGTTCTGAAGGCGGCCTGGACCAAGTGCATAGGTTTTGGTGTCAGGCGGTCCTCTCTCAGAGCCCACTTCACCACTTCCTGCCTGTGTGGTCTGAATAAGTAGGTCGACCTCTCTGAGCCACTATTTCCTCATTTTAAAGTGGAGATTATCTCAATGTAAGGATTAAATGTCATAGTGGCCTGATTTCTGGTTAGGGCTTACTAAACAGTGGCTTTAGAACCATTTGGTCCACAGGAATGTTCTGGAAAGAGAATCCTGTTAGCTCCTTGGGAAAGGCTCATCTGCTTGAAGAAAAAAGGGTGGGAGATGCTCCCTGGGAAGAATAACTGTTGACTAGAAATTGGGGAGAGGGGAGCAGGAAATGGCATAATGGCTATATCTCTGACTCCCATGTAATCTATTGTGGTTAGAGTCCTGCACCAGTAGCTTAAAACTCACACCAGGTGCATATGTGTGCATGCCCAAAATCCCAAGAGGAGAATAAAGGAGAAGGGATTTCAGCATGGATTTCACCCCTGGGGAGTGATTTCTCGCTTTCTGTCTCTCTCTCAAGCACATGTGCCCTATAGCCAAAAAATCTTTAGCTGGCTGTTTGCTTAGGGAGTGCTGTCTGATGTTCAAAGACAAAATTGAGTCATTTGGCACTGGAGTCAGGACCGTGCTTGCCTGCTGGTGCCCTGGGTGAAGAGAGGGTTCTGAAGGCGGCCTGGACCAAGTGCATAGGTTTTGGTGTCAGGCGGTCCTCTCTCAGAGCCCACTTCACCACTTCCTGCCTGTGTGGTCTGAATAAGTAGGTCGACCTCTCTGAGCCACTATTTCCTCATTTTAAAGTGGAGATTATCTCAATGTAAGGATTAAATGTCATAGTGGCCTGATTTCTGGTTAGGGCTTACTAAACAGTGGCTTTAGAACCATTTGGTCCACAGGAATGTTCTGGAAAGAGAATCCTGTTAGCTCCTTGGGAAAGGCTCATCTGCTTGAAGAAAAAAGGGTGGGAGATGCTCCCTGGGAAGAATAACTGTTGACTAGAAATTGGGGAGAGGGGAGCAGGAAATGGCATAATGGCTATATCTCTGACTCCCATGTAATCTATTGTGGTTAGAGTCCTGCACCAGTAGCTTAAAACTCACACCAGGTGCATATGTGTGCATGCCCAAAATCCCAAGAGGAGAATAAAGGAGAAGGGATTTCAGCATGGATTTCACCCCTGGGGAGTGATTTCTCGCTTTCTGTCTCTCTCTCAAGCACATGTGCCCTATAGCCAAAAAATCTTTAAAAAAAAAAAAAAAAAAAAGAAAGAAAGAAAGAAAAAGAAATTGGGGGAAAGAACCATTACCTTGCTGACTTGAATCTAACGAAAGGCATGTAGATGACTTTTCGCACAAAGCCCTTTAGGATAAGATGCTGCCCCAGCATTTGGATGGAGGAAAAGCCTTTCTCAACCTTCTTGTCATTAGGTGTTCACAGGATCGGTGAGAGAGAGAATGTGCAGGAGCTGGTGAGACGGTGCTGTCTTCTAGACGAGTTAAGCAGCCTGCCAAGGTCCCACAGCCCATATGAGGCAGACCATGGAGTCAGGGCATGCCAAACCCTTTCTCATAGCTCCGAGCTGGAGGGGCCCTTGGTTGGTTAGTTCTATTGTACCCTCTCTTGATAGATGGCACTGAAGCGCAGAGAAGCCAGTCACAGAGCAATGAAGAGGGAGCTGACTGCAGCTCAGTGGTCTCCCACCACTGCCCCTGTCCCCGTCTCCGTGTCCTCATGCTTCACAGGCCATGGAGGCATGAATGTAGGTTGAAGGTAGGATGCTGCAGTCAGCCTCATGAGTCAAATCCCAGCTGGGTCATTTAAATTTGAGTGACAGGAGCCAGCACGTGGCATGATAGTTAAGGCACTGGACTCCCACATGGCCAACCACTGTAGTTCAAGTTCCAGACCTGGCGGCTTGCTTTCTCACTTTCTCTTTGTCTCTCTCTGGTGAGCGCAGGTGCCTTAAAGCAAATTAAATAATAATAACAAGAAGTAAAATTAAATAAATAATCCTTAAAAAAATTGGGTGACATACCCACACTCTCTGGCTCAAATCCTTCTCTGTAAAAGGGGTACAATAATAGGACAAGGATAGGATCTGGCTTATAGGAGTAAATGAGTTAATGCATGAAAAGGACTTAGAGTGAACTCTGACAAGTGGTAAGTGGTCTATAATTATTTTTTTAATTTAGTTTTTACTTCAGGGCATGTGCACTCACTGGAGAGAGGCTGAGAAAGAGAGAGAGAAAGTGAGAAATCACCCCCCTGTGGGAATGGTCATTCTGCAATCTTTTCTCCCCCATTCTCCTCTTGGGATTTTGGGCACACATGCACACATGCCAGGTGTATTTTTCCAAGATGCTGGGTCCAGGACTCAAACCATGCAGTTGAGCATGTGAGATCCAACTGTCTTAACTATTACGCCACCTAGCTGACTTCAACTGGTCTATAATATTAATATAATATAAAGATATTGCTTTATTATCTTCATTCATAGCACAAGAGAGACTTATTACAAACAAATAATCCATTTTGTGTTTGTGTGTCCTGTGCCATTCTCATCAACTATGTGATCATGTGACCTGTGGCCTACAGAGAGTCCTCCAACTCTTTTGCAAATAGAAATCCACACTGGGAAAAAACCTGATGAACAAGACAGTTTGTGTTCTTCCTAGCAGATGCAGAAGGGTGCCTGCCATCTCTGTCCCCACTGCACTGTCATTTTGCCTAACATTTTTAGTGGAAACAATTTATATATTTTTTGCAAATTTTTTTTGAGAGGTTTTTGCTACAGGGCGTGTGCGCTCACCAGAAAGACAGAGAGAAACAGAGAGACATCACCCCCCAGTGGGGATGGCCACGCCACAATCCTTTCTCCTCCATTTTCTTCTCAGGATTTTGGGCACGCATGCATATGTGCCTGGCGTGAGTTTAAGCCACTGGGTCCTGGACTCAAACCGCGTTTGGCTACATGGGAGTTCAGCGACATAGCCATTAAGCTGTTGTTACCAATGTTTTTCTTTTTTTTTAAAGAACTATTTTATTGAACTTTATTTAATTAATTAATTAATTTTAATTAGCATTTGGATGGAGGAAAAGCCTTTCTCAACCTTCTTGTCATTAGGTGTTCACAGGATCGGTGAGAGAGAGAATGTGCAGGAGCTGGTGAGACGGTGCTGTCTTCTAGACGAGTTAAGCAGCCTGCCAAGGTCCCACAGCCCATATGAGGCAGACCATGGAGTCAGGGCATGCCAAACCCTTTCTCATAGCTCCGAGCTGGAGGGGCCCTTGGTTGGTTAGTTCTATTGTACCCTCTCTTGATAGATGGCACTGAAGCGCAGAGAAGCCAGTCACAGAGCAATGAAGAGGGAGCTGACTGCAGCTCAGTGGTCTCCCACCACTGCCCCTGTCCCCGTCTCCGTGTCCTCATGCTTCACAGGCCATGGAGGCATGAATGTAGGTTGAAGGTAGGATGCTGCAGTCAGCCTCATGAGTCAAATCCCAGCTGGGTCATTTAAATTTGAGTGACAGGAGCCAGCACGTGGCATGATAGTTAAGGCACTGGACTCCCACATGGCCAACCACTGTAGTTCAAGTTCCAGACCTGGCGGCTTGCTTTCTCACTTTCTCTTTGTCTCTCTCTGGTGAGCGCAGGTGCCTTAAAGCAAATTAAATAATAATAACAAGAAGTAAAATTAAATAAATAATCCTTAAAAAAATTGGGTGACATACCCACACTCTCTGGCTCAAATCCTTCTCTGTAAAAGGGGTACAATAATAGGACAAGGATAGGATCTGGCTTATAGGAGTAAATGAGTTAATGCATGAAAAGGACTTAGAGTGAACTCTGACAAGTGGTAAGTGGTCTATAATTATTTTTTTAATTTAGTTTTTACTTCAGGGCATGTGCACTCACTGGAGAGAGGCTGAGAAAGAGAGAGAGAAAGTGAGAAATCACCCCCCTGTGGGAATGGTCATTCTGCAATCTTTTCTCCCCCATTCTCCTCTTGGGATTTTGGGCACACATGCACACATGCCAGGTGTATTTTTCCAAGATGCTGGGTCCAGGACTCAAACCATGCAGTTGAGCATGTGAGATCCAACTGTCTTAACTATTACGCCACCTAGCTGACTTCAACTGGTCTATAATATTAATATAATATAAAGATATTGCTTTATTATCTTCATTCATAGCACAAGAGAGACTTATTACAAACAAATAATCCATTTTGTGTTTGTGTGTCCTGTGCCATTCTCATCAACTATGTGATCATGTGACCTGTGGCCTACAGAGAGTCCTCCAACTCTTTTGCAAATAGAAATCCACACTGGGAAAAAACCTGATGAACAAGACAGTTTGTGTTCTTCCTAGCAGATGCAGAAGGGTGCCTGCCATCTCTGTCCCCACTGCACTGTCATTTTGCCTAACATTTTTAGTGGAAACAATTTATATATTTTTTGCAAATTTTTTTTGAGAGGTTTTTGCTACAGGGCGTGTGCGCTCACCAGAAAGACAGAGAGAAACAGAGAGACATCACCCCCCAGTGGGGATGGCCACGCCACAATCCTTTCTCCTCCATTTTCTTCTCAGGATTTTGGGCACGCATGCATATGTGCCTGGCGTGAGTTTAAGCCACTGGGTCCTGGACTCATACCGCGTTTGGCTAACTCGACATGGGAGTTCAGCGACATAGCCATTAAGCTGTTGTTACCAATGTTTTTCTTTTTTTTTAAAGAACTATTTTATTGAACTTTATTTAATTAATTAATTAATTTTAATTTGACCAGAGAAGGACATGGTGAGAGCGAGAGAGGGGGAAACTGAGAAAGCAAGCTACCAAGTATGGGACTTCAACTGTGGTCAGCCACGTGGGAGTCCAGCGCCCTCAACCACCATGCCACCTGTCAGCCCCCAATTCATATTTACTTAAGTCTATTTATATAGAAAGCAAACACTTCATCATTGCTATAAATGAGAACCCATTTCACTTCCAGACCTAGTATGAAATTATGCATGTCCCTTCATATCACTTTTGTTGCTTTCTGGATTGACCTTGATGCTTGCTTGTGTTTTAAGGATTTTAAGTCAGACCAGCCAGTGGAAGAATAATTAAGGCAGCTGGATCCCACATGGCCAGCTGTACAGTTCAAGTCCTGGACCTGGCAGCTTGAAAAACACACTTGGAATATGTGTATGTGTGTGTGTATGTGTGTGTATGTGTGTGTCCAAAACCCCAAAAGGAGAGAGAGAGATGGAGGAGAGGGGATTGCGATGTGACCATTCCCCATAGAGAACTCTCTTTCTTTCTCTCTACCTCCAGAGAGCACCATGTGCTCTTTGGCAAAATCATGAAATAAAGTAAACAGAAAAAAAAAAAAGATTTTAAGCAGTTAGATACACCTAGGCCAAAGAGAAGCTTTATTATTCACTTCTTTCCACTTCAAAGCTAACTGGATTCAAATGCAGCAGTAACACCCCCTTCCCATCTATGTCACCTTGGGCTAGTTACTTAAACTCTTAAATAATTATTTATTTAATTGTATTTATTATTGTTCTTAAATTTACTGTAGGACACGTGTGCTTACCAGAAAGAGAAGGAAAATGAGAAAGTAAGCCACCAGGTCCCGGATTCAAATGTGTCATCCCTGTGGGAGTCAAGCACCTTAATCACCACACCACTTGCTGGTCCCGGTGACTTAAACTCTTTCTGTTGTAGCTGTCTGGATATAAAAATGGTTTTGTAAACAATTTCCCTTCAGGACTGTTGTGAGGCTTCAAGCAAATGAACAGGGCCTATGTAATAGTCAGGAATACTTAAAGAGAAATAACCTTTGCTGTTTAATGCTGGGTCTGTATGGCCCTTGCAATGATCTCTTCCTGGGGGTACCCTCCCTTTGGGAACCTGCATTCTCCTGTGTAGTAGGCAGACTAGGCTGTAGGAGGTGTCAGCAAAAAAACAAGACTTGTGTCTTTTGAGGGGTTTTCAAAAAGTTCCTAGAGGGCTGGCTGTGGCCTAGTGGCTAAGGGAACCCGGTCTCACACAGCCAGCAGGGGATTAAATCCTAACCGGAGTTATGAAAAACTCATGTGCACGTGTGCTCCCAGTCCTGACAGGATGGAGAAATGGAGAAGAGATTGTGGGAACACCGTCCTATGGAAGGCACTTTCTTCTTCTCTCTCTGTGCCCTCTGGCTATTAAAAAATACTTCATGGAAATCAATATTAGGGGGAAAAAACTATGTATGGATTTTTTTTTTCACAATTTTTTTGGCACCAAAACAAACTTGCACTTTAATTCCATTTTCCCAGGAACTTTTGAAGTCCCCTCGACATGCATTCAGAGCTGGAGAATGGAAAGAAGGGGAGAGAGCAGGGCCCTGTGTCTGCCTTGTTCTCAGAGGAAACAGGGACCAAGGACTAGAGTGGGGACAGGGACAAGCAGGGCAGGGGACACAAAGGTCACATCCAGGGCCAGTCCTCTGCGCTCGACTCCCTAGCTGCGCTCCCCACTTGCTCGCGCAGATCCTGGGACGTGAGCACAAGGCTGAGGTTGCACACGGACTCTGGGAGAGGCAAACCTGAGGACAAGGAGCAGGGGCTGGGGCTGGGGAATAAGCCAGGACTCTGACGCTGGGTTCCTGGAAAGCTCGGAGAACAAAGTGAAACCGGAAAGAGCCAGTAGAGTGACAGAGACACTGCGTACCGCCGGGCGCACAGTCCCTCCCGCGCAAACGGGCACCAAAGGGGTGGTGCTCGCGGTGCGCACCGAGCCGCGCTCTCCCGGGAACTCGTGCGCGCGTCCCGCCCGCTGCGCTCAACCCAGTCTAGGACCGTGTGCGGGTGGCGCTGACTCAGCCGGGCGGGTACAGGGGCGAGTGCAAGGGAAGAGGCGGGGCCTTTGCGCCCGGGCCACCTTCTCTTACTATAAAGGGAGCTGGCGGCTCCAGACTCCGGTATGCGCCTCCCAAAGCCCGAGTGCTTCTTCGCCAGTTGCTTTGGACCTCCGACCTCCCTTCTCTCGCTATGGATCCCAACTGCTCCTGCGCCACTGGTAAGGGACTCCGGCTTTCTGGTCCTTAGAGTGGACATGTCTGGGCCAGAAAACAATATTCCTGGGGTTAAAGGAGGGCACGTCTTTAGTTCTGGCTGAAATTTCTGGCTGAAATGCTTTCTCTCTTCCCAGCCACCTTCATCGCCTCCTAAAACATCTGACATCTCCCCAAGTCTTTCCATTCTAGAGCCCAGAGGATAAACTGCAGGGCGGTGTGAGCCAGGAAGTTGTTCAGGTCGCTACTGAGTTGAGACCTGGAGCTCTGTCCAGCGTTGGAGCTGCCTGGGCTGGATGGGAGGGAGGCAAGGGACGTTGCCTTTTCGGGGATTCCAGCATAAGGCCTTGTGGAGGGCACCAGCCCATCCGAATCTAAGGGGAGACAAGGTCCTTTAGGTTTTCTTCAGCCCTGAACTGAGCAAGAACTGCCAGGATTCAACAGGCACCTGAGCATGGAGTATGTTGATGGGCTGCGGTTATGTCCTGCCTTGACTCAGGGCTCACTTCCTGTCTCTCTCCTTTACAGGTAGCCCCTGCACCTGCGCTGGCTCCTGCAAATGCAAAGAGTGCAAGTGTACCTCTTGCAAGAAGAGTGAGTGTGGGGGTCTTGCCTGGGAACCTGGGGACTGGACTGAGTCAGAAGAGGGAACCCAGAACTCAGCAGGCAGGAGCAGACCAATGACCAGCTTCCTATCACCTCCTTTCCTGAACACTTGATTCAGCCTCAGCGGCAGAATCTAGAGGTCGTCGATTTCCGGCCTCGTTCTTAGAATGGGGGAAACCGAGGCCCGGAGAGCGCACCAAGCTGGTCAAACTCAGACCCGATACTTTAAGACTTTTCTCACTTCATCATCTGGTTTTGGGGAATTGGACGTCCTTTGTTACTGATAGGCCCTATCACTGCCTCTACGGCCTTTCTGTCCTGTCCAGAGCTCAAGTGGGGCTGGACAACTTTTTTCCTAAGAAGACCCTCACCCCAAAAATCCACCCATTGTATCCAGACTCAGTGTGCCATCTTAAAAAGGGTCCTCTGAGGCTGGGACAGAGCTTGTGCCAGGCCCTCTGTTGGGGCAGGGAGGTGAGATGCCCCTTCCGTGTGCTCTGACCTCTCACCCTCTGCTTTCTTCCCCAGGCTGCTGCTCCTGCTGTCCCGCCAGCTGTGCCAAGTGCGCCCAGGGCTGCATCTGCAAAGGGGCCTCAGACAAGTGCAGCTGCTGCCCCTGATGTGGGGACCGCCCTGCTCCCAGATGTAAATAGAGCCACGTGTACAAGCCTGGATTTCTTTTTTTTTCTATACAACTCTGACCCGTTTGCAATATTCCTTTTTCTACAAACTATGTGAGTGTAATAAAAGTTGTTGACTAGATTCTGGCTCTGCTTTCTTTTGTGTGCCTTGGAATTAAGGAAGGTCCTGTCCAACAGAACTGGGGTGGAAGATTGGGTCAGGAGCTCAAAGACCCGGGTGCCAGGAACATATCTTAATTTCTGACATACCGAGTACCTTAAGGCAGATCAGGTGACCTGTCTCGGTTCCCGATTCTCAGCTAAAAGGGCAAAAGCATCATCGATATGGTAAGGGTGGAGCAAATACAGGCTTCCCTCTGTTTTGAAGTCAAGTGTTGATGGTGTAGAAGTTGTTTTTGTTAGGATTTGGTTTTGGTTTTGCTATAGGGCATGAGCTCACTGGAGAGAGACAGAGAAAGTGACAAATTACTTCCCAGGTGGGATGGCCATCCCACAATCCCTTCTTCCTTCTCAGGATTTTGGGTACGCTTGCACACACATCTGGCGTGGTTTTCAAGGCATCAGTCCTGACCGGAACTGTGCCCTTGGCCTGTGGCATCCAGCCCCCTTAACCTCTGCGCCACCTGCTAGCTAACATCGAAGCTTCTTAATGTTCTGTTCTTCCTTCCTTCCTTTCTTTCTTTCTTTCTTTCTTTCTTTCTTTCTTTCTTTCTTTTTCTTTCTTTCTTTCTTTTAAAGCAGACTGCATTTTTTAAAAAATATTTTCTCTTCATTGTCTGTGAATTCTTTGCCAAATATCAATCATCATTGGATGTTAGGCTTGAAAAGGACTCAGGGTGGAATCAAATTCCTATCTGCTCATATTCTACACAGAGTTTCTAAATACAGTGGTCAGGATTAGTTTTCATTTTCTATCTGTCAGAGACTTAAACATTTTTTTTTTTTTGGAGAGGTTTTTGCTATAGGGCACGTGCACTCACCAGAAAGGCAGAGAGAGACAGAGAGACAGAAAGCAAGAAATCACCCCCCAGGGAGGATGGTCACATGACAATCCCTTCTCCTCCATTCTCCTCTCGGTATCTTGGACACACACATGCCCAGCATGAGTTTAAGCTACCGGGTCTGGGACTCAAACCGTGGTCAACTACATGGGAGTCCAGCGACATAGCCATTATGCTAACTGCTGGTCCCAAAACCCATTTTTAATGTTCAGGCACATTTCAATAAACACACACACACACATACACACACACAGTAAAAATGAAGAAAATGTGGGGCCAGTAGGGGGTATGGTTGAGGTACTGGACTCCCACATGGCAAACCATGGTTCGAATCCTGGACCTGACAGCTTGCTTTCTCACTTCTGCTCTCTCTCTCTGCATGCTGGTCCCAAAACCCATTTTTAATGTTCAGGCACATTTCAATAAACACACACACACACATACACACACACAGTAAAAATGAAGAAAATGTGGGGCCAGTAGGGGGTATGGTTGAGGTACTGGACTCCCACATGGCAAACCATGGTTCGAATCCTGGACCTGACAGCTTGCTTTCTCACTTCTTCTCTCTCTCTCTGCCGAGTGCACAAACCCTATATGTAGCAAAGTAAATAATAATAAAGTTAAATAGTTAAAAATAAATGCAAACACTGCTGATTTGTTTTAGAGTGTGCATCACAGGCTAGAAACATTCACAGACAGTTTTTTCTTTTCTTTTCTTTTCTTTTTTTAGAGGTTTTTGCCTTGGGTGCATGTGCTCACCTGAGAGAGAGAGGGACAGAGATAGTAAGAGAGAAAGTGAGAAATCAACCTCCTTAGGGATGGTCACACTGCACTCCTTCCAGGATCTTGGGCACACACACATTGTGCCCACATGATTTTCAAGCCACTGGGTCCAGGACTTGAACGGCTGTCGGCTATGTGGGAGTCCAGTGATATAACTGCTATGCCATCTGCTGGTCCTCACAGACTGGTTTCAATGTAGGAATCACACACCTTGAGCAGCACTCATCCAGACATCCTCACAAGAAACCATCTACTGATAGGTTCCTTCTACCTCTGAAACTCTTTTGTGGCTGGAAATCTCTAGACGTGCCTCCCAAGGTCAGGCTGAAATCCACTCCTCTGACATTCCAGCCCTTGGTTACTATAAGCTGCTATTGTTACCAGGGATTTCTGGGTCTTGCCCAGCACTTTCCTAGCAAGCTGGAGTGTATGTGAGAACCTTATACCTGCGTCTGCAGGGGTGACAGCAGATTCTGCAGTTTCGAAGGTGTGGTGGCGTTTATGAGGACGGAGGGCGGCCTTAAGTGACTTGTAATTAATGACCACAGTTAGTCCCGCTGGCTGTTTGCTGAGGGAGTGCTGTCTGAGGTTCAAAGACAAAATCGAGTCATGTGTCCCTGGAGTCAGGACCGTGCTTGCCTGCAGGTGCCCTGGGTGAAGAGAGGGTTTTGAAGGTAGTCTGGGCCAAGTGATGGGTTTTGGTGTCAGGGCAGTCCTGTCTCAGAGCCCACTTCACCACTTCCTGGCTGTGTGGCCTAGATAAGTAATTCGACTTCTCTGAGCCACTATTTCTTCATTTGTAAAATTAGAACCTTGTTGATCTGGATGCATGAGCATTTGGACGACAATCCTTTAGGATAAGACAGCGCCCCAGTGTCCAGATAGAGAAAAAGCCTTTCTAATCTTCATGTCATTTGGTCTTCATAGGACCCAGTAAGAGAGTGGATGTACAGGGGCTGGCAAAATTGTGCTGCTGTCCAAAGTAAGTAAGCAACCTGCCCAAGGTCACACGGCATAGGAGTAAAGGTAGGAATTAATGTATGCTACAGATATCCTCATGTGCTAACCGCAGCTGGAAGAGCATGACGTCAGGGCATCCGAAGCCCTCTTCTCACAGTTCCACGCTTGAAGGGCTTTTGGTTGGTTAGTCCTATGTAACCCTCTCTTGAGAGCTGGTACACCAGAGCCCAGAGGTCAATCATGTAACTGGGGCTTGCTTAGCTAGACTGACTCCATCTTGTTAAGCTATAAAATTCTCTCAGCCCGATACTCTTTGAGATTTCCCACATGAACATCAAGGTGACAAACAGTCAACCTGGAGCTGAAACAATGAGGAACCCTCTGCTCCAGCCACAAGTGGAAACTTCAGTCTTGAAGATGAATCATTTGATTGTGCCACTTAGCTAAGACTGAAACTCCTGCCTTGAAGACTAATTACTCGTTTGCACCGCCCCCCCCCCCCCCTAAAAATGTACATAATCTCTGCTTTTCTGTGTTTTTCTATCAATAACCTCTAGCCCACTAAGGTCCTCCTTTCCCTATAAAAGCACCTGCCAGTTGGCTGACCCTCCAAGATATTCTTACTTGTCTCCCTGATGTGGCCACGCTGTGATAAACTCTCCTTTTCTCTCTTATCAATAATTTTGCCTTTCTCCGTTTTGTTCAGTGGTGAGGGGTTGGACTAGCTTTAGGTTCTTTTTTTCTTTTTTTCTTTTTTTGGTTGGGGGAGAGGTTTTTGCTATAGGGCACATGCACTCGCCAGAAGGGCAGAGAGAGACAGAGAGATAGAAAGTGAGAAATCATCCCCCAGGGGGAATGGCCACGCCGCAATCCCTTCTCCTCCACTCTCCTCTTGGGATCTTGGGCATGCACACACACTCAGCCAGCATGAGTTTAAGCCATCAGGTCCGGGACTCGAACCACGGTCGACTACATGGGAGTATGGCGACATAGCCATCACGCTCACTGCTGGTCCCTGGACCTGCTTAAGGTTCTTGAACTGGGGGTGTAAAGACCCTCATCCAGGAACAGTTACAGAGCTATGCAGAGGGATCTGATTGCCAGCTCGGTGGTCTGCCTACTGCTGTGCCAGATTTCAATGACCTTGTCTTTCAGGTGGCATGGTGGCATGGGTGCAGGTGAGGGCATGGTGCTAGTCAGTCCGCATGAGTGCAGATCCCAGCTGTGTCTCTTATGCCTGGATGATAAAACTAATTTCTGGCTCAATTCCTCCACTGTTAGAGGGGCATAAACATAGGGTCTGGCTCATAGGAGTAAGTGGTCAATACACATGTATTAGTCAAAGTTCTCTGGGAGGCAGAACCAGTAGGCTATGCAGAGATACATAGAAGGGGGTTATTAGGGGCGTCAGTTAATGGGATTATGGCAGCTGAAAAGTGCCCCCAAAAGCCCATCTGCAGGTTGGAGACCCTGGGATGCTGGTAGCATAGCTCAGCCCAAGTCTGAAGGCCTCCGAGGCAGGGAAGCCACTGATGTAACTCTTAGTCTGAGGCTGAAAGCCTGAGAACCTGGGGGTGGGAACTAGGGGAGGGTGCTGGTGTGAGTCCTGGAGTCTGAAGACAGACGAGCTCTGAGCTCTGGTGTCCAAGGCTACAGAAGTTTATCTTGCTCTCTCAAAAGAGATCCCATCTGGAGCCAGCCAGGAGGCATAAAAGTTAAGGTTGGCTGGACCCCACGTGGCCGACAGTGCAGTTCCAGCCTCAGACCTGGCAGCTTGGAAAACAGGCCAGGTCGTTCTTGTATGCCCAATATCCCCAGAGGAGGATGGAGAAGGGACTGTAATGCAGTCATCCCCCTACGGGGGGCGGGGTGCTTTCTCACTTTCTCTTTCTTTCTCTCTGTGTTCTTCCTAGCAGCTACAGAAGGATGGCTGAGCGACTGCCAACCTGGGTCCCCAGCTGCATCGCTAGGAGAGGTTGCTAAGCCAGGGTCTCACCACCCCGCTTCCACCCTGCTCCCCCTCCCCCCATTCTGATTGCTTAGGTCTAAGGCAGACCAGGAAGCCTGTATCTTTAACTCGTACCTAGCTAAGACTTCAGTGGACCAAAGCAATCATGTGGAATGACCCTCTGCTATTTCCTCCCTGATCTCAAACCCAGGAAGCACTCACCCCAGTCGGTATTTGGAGCTACTCCCCAACATGTGGCTGCCTGTTCTGGTGGCCGGGGGAACCTGGCAGTGCCCAGGTGTCTGGCTGGGGAGGGAGAAGCAGGCAAGCCCCACCACGCATGGGATGGCAAGTTTCTGGCAGAGACCAAGCCAATCTCCTAAGGCCGATTAGAGCCTCCCGGGGACTCACACCATGGAAACAGCA